AATTGTCCCTGGACCAGGAGTTTGTCTGGGAGTTCAACCGAGGGGCGGGGCCGGCCAGGGGAAGGGAGAGAGGGCCCAGCTGGCAGCCATCAGCCGCTAGGAACCATAGGAGTGCACGAATTTTGTGCACTGGGCCTCTAGTATATATGTCTGTGTGACTGTGTGTGTGTGTGTGTGTGTGTGTGAGCCTGGTGTCTGCAGGGCCACAGCCTCCCCTGTGTGTGTGTGTGTGTGTGTGTGAGCCTGGTGTCTGCAGGGCCACAGCCTCCCCTGTGTGTGTGTGTGTGTGTGTGTGAGCCTGGTGTCTGCAGGGCCACAGCCTCCCCTGTGTGTGTGTGTGTGTGTGTGTGAGCCTGGTGTCTGCAGGGCCACAGCCTCCCCTGTGTGTGTGTGTGTGTGTGTGTGAGCCTGGTGTCTGCAGGGCCACAGCCTCCCCTGTGTGTGTGTGTGTGTGTGTGTGAGCCTGGTGTCTGCAGGGCCACAGCCTCCCCTGTGTGTGTGTGTGTGTGTGTGTGAGCCTGGTGTCTGCAGGGCCACAGCCTCCCCTGTGTGTGTGTGTGTGTGTGTGTGAGCCTGGTGTCTGCAGGGCCACAGCCTCCCCTGTGTGTGTGTGTGTGTGTGTGTGAGCCTGGTGTCTGCAGGGCCACAGCTTCCCCTACATGTGTGTGTGTGACTGTGTGTGAGTGTGTACACATATATATGTATTTTTTTAAAAAAATATATATTGTATTGGCCCTTACCGGTGTGGCTCAGTGGATAGAGCGTCTGCCTGCGGACTGAAGGGTCCCGGGTTCGATTCCGGTCAAGGGCATGGACCTGGGTTGCGGGCACATCCCCAGTGGGGGGCGTGCAGGAGGCAGCTGATCGATGTTTCTCTCTCATCATCGATGTTTCTAACTCTCTATCCCTCTCCCTTCCTCTCTGTAAAAAATTAATAAAATATATTTTAAAAAATAAATGAATAAAATAAAATAAAAACAGGTCCACAGACTGGGGGGGGAGGGGGAGAAATAAACACAATCCCCCTCCCCCCAACAAATAAATTATTTTAAATAAAAATTAAAATGGTGTCAGGGGGGGAGATATAGGACCGTGACGAAGGTTAGGGTTAGGGTTAGGGTTAGGGTTAGGGCTCGTACCTGGAAGTTCCCATGGTGGGACTCGAACAGCCCCGCGAAGGTGGCCTTGGGGTCCGGGACACTGGGCATCAGCAGCCTTTTCACTCTGAAATGGACACAGAGGGGGGCCACGGGGTCAGATGGGGTGACCCCCCAGAGCAGGGGGGTGGGGCTGCCCCTCCAAGGGCTGAGGGTGACCGGATTCCGACCTCAGAGACGCAGACCCCACGGGGAACTCTGTCCTCGGTCTCAAGGTGCGTGCCCTCCTCCCCCCAACCCCCCAATTTATACCCCACAGGCACCCCAACCTCAGCGTGCAGGGGAAGCCCACACCAGCAGTGGGGTGTGGTCCCCTGTAGAATAAAAGCTTAATGTTGTTGCCCTGACTGGTGTGGCTCAGTGGATAGAGCGTCAGCCTACAGACCGAAGGGTCCTGGGTTCGATTTTGGTCCAGGGCACGTGCCTCGGTTACAGCTCGATCCCTGGCCATGGTCAGGGTGCGAGCAGGAGGCAACCAATCCATCTCTCTCTCTCTCTCTCTCTCTCTCTCTCTCTCTCTCTCAAAATCAATGGAAAAATATACCTCAATGTTGGATTAACCAATAAATTCCCCAAAAAACATTGATTCAAGTAGTGACAGGCAGCCTGGACCCTGAGTCATTGATTGCCTGGTTACAATATCACCCCAAATATGGATGATTGGAATATTGATTCTTTTTAGTCGAAAGCCGTAGAGGGGATCGCTCTGACCTCCCCCGCCCCCTCCCTGAAAACCAGGCGTCAATATTTCCTTTTTGCAAAGGAAGTTTCAGTCTGTCAGGGGCACCCCCCTCGCCCTTATCAGGGGGTGAAGGGTGAGTGTTATCACGGAGGTGACGTCGAGAGTTCTACCCAGAAAAATCTTTATCTACCGTTCGTTTCCTTCCTACGTCTTCTTTCTTTGTAATTCTTTAAAAAATTGATTTCAGAGGGGAAGCATAATAGTCCACATGTTGTAGAGGGTTCATAAATGTTGGGATATGTTTTCTTCCATTGAACGTTACCTAAGAGCTGTTAAGGGGGAGGATTCCTAAGGAAAGGATTTCTTTATAAACACCTCTGAAGTGGAATATTTATCAGATCTAGGCCTGTGCTAGGCGACAGGTATACAAAAACGGAGAAGACCTATTCTCCACCTTAAGCATATCAACCAAGCATGGGAGACAAACCTCTAAAGGAATCATTGCCTACCCTGAGATGAATGTCATTGTAGACCATTTGCATGGTACAAGGGTGGTCCTGGGGAGCCACACTGAGTCTGCACAGAGTGCTTAAGGAGAAAGTGCCCATGCTGTTAAAGGATGTTTGCATGGATGGATGGATGGATGGATGGATGGATGGATGGAAGGATGGATGGATGGAAGGATGGATGGATGGATGGATGATGGATGGATGGATGGATGATGGATGGATCAATACATAGAAATGGAACAGATCCCAATCTATATTATAAAAGACCAGTGACCGTAACGCCGTAACGACCAAACAACCAAACGACCAGTCACCAGGGGGTGCACTAATGGGTCTCACTGGCGCGACAGGTCTGGGGTCTTGCACGATTTTGCGAGCTGGGTCTCTATTCTATAAATATATAGATTGATAATAGTTGATTAATAAATGGATGGCTGGATAGATAAATGGATGGCTGGATAGATAAATGGATGGCTGGCTGGCTGGCTGGATGGATGGATGGATGGATACATAGATGTATGTCCATGAACTGGACCAGGAATCAAACCCGGGACCCTTCGGTCTGCAGGCCGACGCTCTATCCACTGGGCCACACCAGCCAGGGCTGAAATCAATATTTTCTTAAATGGGTCGATCAGTGTAGGAATGGGACACTCCACTAAATAAGCCGGTTTTCCTCTTTTTCCCCCCACGTCTGTGTGTCTGTCGAGACCCCACGCGCGGGCCGTCCTTACCTCTGGAGTTTCCACACACACAGGAGGAGGAGGAGCAGGGTCAGGAGGGCGGCCAGGCCGTAAACCAAAACGGATTTGGGGAAGACCCGTTCCTCCTGGCACGAGTCTGAGGCGGAGCAGAAGGAGATGCGGTTAGTTTTCACACGGAGAGTGGGTCAGTCCGTCCACTTCGGTCGGGAGGATCTTGGAAAGAGAGAAGGGTCCTGGACAGACACGCGTCAGGGAGTGGAGGCCCCAGTCACTGGATTTCGGTTATCACCTATCAGCCAGCCATCCATCCATCCTTCCATCCACCCATCCATCATCCATCCATCCATCCATCATCGATCCATCCATCATCCATCCATCCATCCATCCTTCCATCCACCCGTCCATCATCCATCCATCCATCCATCCTTCCATCCACCCGTCCATCATCCATCCATCCATCCATCCTTCCATCCACCCGTCCATCATCCATCCATCCATCCATCCTTCCATCCACCCGTCCATCATCCATCCATCCATCCATCCTTCCATCCACCCGTCCATCATCCATCCATCCATCCATCCTTCCATCCACCCGTCCATCATCCATCCATCCATCCATCCTTCCATCCACCCGTCCATCATCCATCCATCCATCCATCCTTCCATCCACCCGTCCATCATCCATCCATCCATCCATCCTTCCATCCACCCGTCCATCATCCATCCATCCATCCATCCTTCCATCCACCCGTCCATCATCCATCCATCCATCCATCCTTCCATCCACCCGTCCATCATCCATCCATCCATCCATCCTTCCATCCACCCGTCCATCATCCATCCATCCATCCATCCTTCCATCCACCCGTCCATCATCCATCCATCCATCCATCCTTCCATCCACCCGTCCATCCATCCATCCATCCATCCATCCTTCCATCCACCCGTCCATCATCCATCCATCCATCCATCCCTCCATCCACCCATCCATCCATCATCCATTCTTCTACCCAACATGTATCTGTCTATCCATCCATCCATCGTCCATTCATCCATCTATCCAATATCTGTCCATTTATCCATCCATCCATCCATCATCAACCCATCCCTCTACCCAGCATGTATCTACCTGTCGATCAATGCATCCATCATCAATTAATCCATCTATCCAATATTTGTCCATCCATCCATCATCCATCCATCTACCCAACATGTATCTATCCATCCATCCATCCATCTATCCAATATCTGTCCATCCATCCATCATCCTTCCATCCATCCATCTACTCAACATGTACCTGTCTGTCCATCCATCCATCCATCATCCATTCATCCATCTATCCAATATCTGTCCATTTATACATCCATCCATCCATCATCAACCCATCCCTCTACCCAGCATGTATCTACCTGTCGATCAATGCATCCATCATCAATTAATCCATCTATCCAATATTTGTCCATCCATCCATCATCCATCCATCTACCCAACATGTATCTATCTATCCATCCATCATCCATTCATCCATCTATCCAATATCTGTCCATTTATACATCCATCCATCCATCATCAATCCATCCATCTACCCAACATGTATCTATCTATCCATCCATCATCCATTCATCCATCCATCTACCCAACCTGTATCTGTCTGTCTATCCATCCATCCATCTATCCAACATATGTCCATCCATCCATCATCAATCCATCCATCTACCCAACATGTATGTATCTGTCTATCCATCCACCTATCCATCATCCATCCATCTATCCAATATCTGTCCATCCATCCATATATCCATCCATTCCTCCAATCCATCCATCCATCCATCCATCCATCCACACAACATGCATCTATCTATCTATCCATCTGTCCATCATCCATTCATCCATCCCTCCAATATGCATCAACCTATGAACCAGGAGGTCACAGTTCCATTCCTGGTCAAGGGCACAGGCCCAGGTTGTGGGCTTGATCCCCAGTGGAAGGCGTGCAGGAGGCGGCCGATCCATGATTCTCTCTCATCATGGATGAACAAGCATTATTACCTCGTGGCTGCCCCCTCTGCTGGTGGATCACCTCCGACCAGTCGCTGGGGTAGGTTGTGCGGGATGGATAGGTGGGCTCCGTGGGGGTCACTCTGGCTCGAAAGGAGTAGCATTTCTCAGCATCCAAGTCCTGGATGGTCACATTGCAGGTCTTCTCTGCCTTTGGCTGGAGGAGGGAAAGCAAACAACAAGGTCGGTGACCTGATGTGTAGGTAGATGTGTAGATAGTAGCTGATATAAATAGAGGATAGATGATGCATGGATGGATGGAAGGATGGATGGATGGATGGATGGATGGATGGATGGATGGATGGATGGATGGATGGATGGATGGATGGATGGATGGATGGATGGATGGATGGATGGATGGCTGGGTGGATGGATGCATGGATGGATGATGGATGCATGGATGGATGGGTGGGTGGATGGATGGATGATGGATGGATAGGTGGATGGATGGATGATGGATCGGTGGATGGATCGGTGGATGGATGGGTGGATGGATGGATAGGTGGATGGATGGATGATGGATCGGTGGATGGATCGGTGGATGGATCGGTGGATGGATCGGTGGATGGATCGGTGGATGGATCGGTGGATGGATCGGTGGATGGATCGGTGGATGGATCGGTGGATGGATCGGTGGATGGATCGGTGGATGGATCGGTGGATGGATCGGTGGATGGATCGGTGGATGGATCGGTGGATGGATCGGTGGATGGATCGGTGGATGGATCGGTGGATGGATCGGTGGATGGATCGGTGGATGGATCGGTGGATGGATCGGTGGATGGATCGGTGGATGGATCGGTGGATGGATCGGTGGATGGATCGGTGGATGGATCGGTGGATGGATCGGTGGATGGATCGGTGGATGGATCGGTGGATGGATCGGTGGATGGATCGGTGGATGGATCGGTGGATGGATCGGTGGATGGATCGGTGGATGGATCGGTGGATGGATCGGTGGATGGATCGGTGGATGGATCGGTGGATGGATCGGTGGATGGATCGGTGGATGGATCGGTGGATGGATCGGTGGATGGATCGGTGGATGGATCGGTGGATGGATCGGTGGATGGATCGGTGGATGGATCGGTGGATGGATCGGTGGATGGATCGGTGGATGGATCGGTGGATGGATCGGTGGATGGATCGGTGGATGGATCGGTGGATGGATCGGTGGATGGATCGGTGGATGGATCGGTGGATGGATCGGTGGATGGATCGGTGGATGGATCGGTGGATGGATCGGTGGATGGATCGGTGGATGGATCGGTGGATGGATCGGTGGATGGATCGGTGGATGGATCGGTGGATGGATCGGTGGATGGATCGGTGGATGGATCGGTGGATGGATCGGTGGATGGATCGGTGGATGGATCGGTGGATGGATCGGTGGATGGATCGGTGGATGGATCGGTGGATGGATCGGTGGATGGATCGGTGGATGGATCGGTGGATGGATCGGTGGATGGATCGGTGGATGGATCGGTGGATGGATCGGTGGATGGATCGGTGGATGGATCGGTGGATGGATCGGTGGATGGATCGGTGGATGGATCGGTGGATGGATCGGTGGATGGATCGGTGGATGGATCGGTGGATGGATCGGTGGATGGATCGGTGGATGGATCGGTGGATGGATCGGTGGATGGATCGGTGGATGGATCGGTGGATGGATCGGTGGATGGATCGGTGGATGGATCGGTGGATGGATCGGTGGATGGATCGGTGGATGGATCGGTGGATGGATCGGTGGATGGATCGGTGGATGGATCGGTGGATGGATCGGTGGATGGATCGGTGGATGGATCGGTGGATGGATCGGTGGATGGATCGGTGGATGGATCGGTGGATGGATCGGTGGATGGATCGGTGGATGGATCGGTGGATGGATGGGTGGCTGGATGGATAGGTGGATGGATGGAGGGATGGATGGATGGATGGATGGATGATGGATCAGTGGATGGATGGGTGGATGGATGGATGATGGATCGTTGGATGGATGGATGGATGGGTGGCTCAATGGATCGATGGATGGGTGAGTGGATGAATGGATGGATGGGTGGATGATAGATCATATGATAAATGTGTACATTGCTATTAGATGACTAATAAATGGATGGATAGATAGATGATGGACAGATGGAATGACGTTTTGTCTTCGTCCTTGGAACAAAAGTTTCCTTCTCTCAGGCATCTGGACATCTTGGGTAACTTTCCCTTTTTTGCCCATTTCTGTGCCTCAAAAAAACCAGCAAAAAACCAACAACCAAAGAAAAATACCCAGCCCGGCCAGTGGTTGAGCAGCGACCTATGAACCAGGAGGTCACCATTCGATTCCAGGTCAGACCACCTATAATCCTAGAGTAATTCCTTTAAATAAATCTCAATACCTCTCTCTCTCTCTCTCTCTCTCTCTCTCTCTCTCTCTCTCTCTACCTCTCTTCCTCCCTCTCCCTCTCCCTCTCCCTCTCTCTTCTATCTATATATAAAAATATATTATAAAAAAAAAA